AAAATCACAGTGAGAAGCACGCAAGCGCCTCTGAAACTGCTATGTTTATGAAAAAATGGGTTAACCCTAACGGGACCTGGCACCCAGACCACTTCATTAAGCTGAAGTGGTCTGGGTGCCTAGAGTGGTCCTTTAATTACAAAAAAGTGCAGTAACCCTGACATTTTATGATACTTATTACTGTTGTTGTTCCTGTCATCTAAGAAATGTCTATGTAAGCATGCAATATTATTCGATACACTTTATAGTGCATCGAATAATATAGCATGGTTACATAGATGTTTTCCATTCGTGTCCGATTTCCCCTGCGTTAGTGCATCGAATAGTGCACTTTAGTGCACTATTCGATGCACTAACACAGGGGAAATCGGACACAAATGTAAAAAAACAACTCTTTTTAAATATCTCTGAATAATGCCTTATTGTCATTATACTTCAGGGTCCATCCCTCACAAACATTGGTAAAGCATTTTAAAAGAAGGTTTTTACTTACTACCAGGCACTGCTGAACCATTTAACTGGCTCAGAGCACATACACATGCTCTGAGCTGGCAAGGGAAGTGAGTTAAAGTAGGAGGTGCAAAGGCGGGGGTAACAAATAGTATCGCATGGGGTATGGAGGTGGGAGGGCTACAATTGAGGAGGGTGGGATGGGGAAGCAATCTTCCCTTTGGAGATGCTCTGCCTGCAAGGGGAACATTTTTAAGTCTGTTGGCAGTTTGCAGTGCGCGTTAAAGACAGATGTTTTCTTTGCAGAGAATTTATATTAGACAGTCCGGAACACCGTACTGGGCCGCCGATGTCATGTTTACTGGGGGTACAATTAGCCCCCAGAACACAATTAACAATAACTCTGAATGTGCAGTTTCAAGCTCATTCAGACTCCTACCACCATTATCACTTCAAATCACTGGCAGTGCTGCTTTAAAAAAAAAAAGACTCTAAGATCAAAACTTATATATATTATGTTATTATTATGTTATTATTTATATAATGCCAATAAATTCTGCAGTGCTTTATATATATATATAATTTTAATCTGAAAGTATATATGGTTTTTATAGGTCAGTTTTCTTTCTATAAATAAAAGTAATGTATTCACCTATGCTACGGAAAAGGCTGTGCCACCATTTGGTAAGTTCTGAGTGATGTGAGTTTTTCTCCTGAGGATTTCAATGTTCTGAGGTTGATAAAATGCAAACATTGTATTGCTTAAAGGAGCACTATATTGTCAGGAACACAAACGTATTCCTGACCCTGTAGTGTAAAAACCCCATCCAACTACCGCCCTATATCGCTACTGCCGTTTGCCTCCAATATCCTTGAGAGAGTTGTGTATGCGAGATTGACAAACTTCCTCGAATCCATCTCATCCCACTTCAGTCTGGATTCCACGCTCATCACTCTGTTGAAACAGCTGTGACCAAAGTATCCAACAATTTAATCGCTGTTAAATCTCGCAGCCATCTCGCAGATCATGAACAACTTTTTCGCATTCTCTGTAATTTTGGTCTACGGGATACTGCTCTCTCCTGGTGCTCCTCCTACCTCTCCCAGCACCTTTTCAGTGTTTCTTTCTCTGGCTCTGCCTCTGCCTCGCAGGCTTGCTGCCTAGGTGTTCTCTTTGACTCTGACCTCTCCATCACCCCTCATTGTCCAGTCGATCGCCAAATCCTGCCGCTTCCATCTCAAAAACATAGCTCGCATCCTCCCCTATTTAACACCAGACGCAGCTAATGTGCTGGTCCGTGCCATTATTCTTTCTCGCCTTGACTAATGCAATCCCCTTCTCAGTGGTCTTAGATGTTCCCAAATTGCACCGCTGCAATTTATAATGAATGCGGCGGCGAGGCTCATTTTCCTGTCCGCCGCCCACCTCCCACGCCTCCCCCCTCTGGCAGTCCCTTCATTGGCTTCCAGTTAGATATAGGGCTCAATTTAAAATTCTGGTGCTTGCTTACAAGTCCCTACATAATGCTGCTCCAACCTAACTATTGTCACGGCTTACCTGAGGTGGGAGTCCGGTAGGCAGAGATTTGTGCTCACCCTTGCAGATATGCACAGAACAAGGTGATAAGGTTAGAAACCTCCAGGATTGTGAATCTGTGCACGGGGGCTGTGCATGAAAGGTGCTCCAATTTGCAGTACAGACAAGGACACAAGCAGAAGGATTGTCGAGGATAAGCCAAAGTCAGAGGATGCCAGAGGTCAGGATAAACAAGGAGGAAAGCCAAGGTCAGGAGCCGGGGTCAATCTGGAGAACAAGTATCAGGAGACAAAAACAGGAACAACACACGATCACTAGAATCAAAGAACTGACAATGTTCTCATGGAGAAGCAGGTTTATATACCTTGCTAATGAGCTATCTGCCTTAGGTGGACATAGAGAGACAGGAGCAGCCAAAGGTAAAGTCCAGCCCCCTAGCGCTGCAGACAATACAGCATAGGAAAACAGGTAGACACATAAACTGTAGTGTGGCTCAGAGGCAAGACAGCAGGACTAAGGCAGCCAGAGTTCAGGTCCCCTTTTTGGCACCTGTGGAACGGCCACGTCTGGCCATCTTGATGTCATGGTTACACCTATCCTCCCTAATACACAAGTATGTCCCGTCGAGGCCCCTGCGCTCTGCCAAAGGCCTACGCCTCTCCTCTATCCGTACTCCCACATCTGATGCTCACCTCCAAGACTTCTCCAGGGCTGCACCTTTTCTGTGGAACTCCCTTCCCTTCCCCGTTAGACTTTCACCCAGTCTCCACTGATTCAAAGAATCTTTGAAAACTCACTTCTTCAAGAAAGCATATCATTTAAACTGTTAGCAGGTTTTCTTCCCCCCAAACCTCCCATGACTCCTTTCCTGCAACTGTCAAAAATAACCTACGAAGTTAATTACGGGTCTGTTAGTCCACCCATTGTACAACGCTATGGAATTTGCTGGCGCTATATAAATAATAATAATAATGTCACAAAAATACATGAGGTATTTAATGTAAAGCATCAAGATATACTCACCTATGTTTTAGCGCTGCCATCTTCTGAGCTTTGTGGGTGTTTCTGTATGTGTAATACTCTCCTTCAGTCCTTCCCTGGCCTTCTGTGATTTGCTCTATATAGAGTCTATTACAAAGATCTTACTGGTAGATGGGAGAAATACCTATTTTTAAACAGGTTTCTACCGCATAGACATCAATTCAGGAGAACTGAAAAATGTAATATTTGGAATATGTATTGGGTATCTTCTTTGAATTCTATAAACCACTCCATATATGTTGACAATTACATTAAATATCAACTTAGTCAGTATTAGCTGACATGTTGTATATATTTTATATATTCTGATTGCATTTATTTAGCATATGTATTGTATTCCTATTTTATAATGTCTGATTGCATATTAGTGCTGCGGAATAAGTTGGCACTATATAAAGGCCAATAATAATAAAATACCACAATAATATGTTTTAATGTAGCTTTCACAGTGCTAGTTGCACATGCTAGTGCAATACAATGTATAGGTGCACAAGGTATAACTAATGTGCTCATTCTACCTCTTCACTATTGTTATATAAACTGTAAAGAGTGGACTAAAATGATTTGTGCTATGCAAATAAAATGCACACCTATATACATACAAACTTACTGTATTTCTTCCTGCCTTACTGTGAGCTGTCAAGAGCTACGTACACCTGGCATAACAGCGTACGTTATATATAATCATTATATTTTAATAATATAATGTCATTATATATAATTACTGTAGTAAGGTACCTACCGTGGTTATGCAAGCCATATAGTGCCAAGCACAACTTGGATTTATTCAGTAAAATAAGAGAATTGGAAACATAATTACACTACTTGGGCTAAAATCTACAAGATCTGGAAAATGTTGCATTTTGCAATTAGGTTTTAAATTCACAATTTTCATGTTTAGTGGATAAACCCTCTGTTACTGCAATGTAAAGTATACCTGCAAATTTAGCTATTTGTACACCAAATTGTAATTTAAGTACGTGCTTGCAATTTAGTCCCCCCCCTTTTATTTTCTGTCCCCCTTTTATTCTTTTGATTGCTTGTTATACATATTTTTCTAAAAAATATTTCAATAAAACATATTTGAAACTAAAAAGGAACAAACTGTATAACTAATGTATACCTGCCTCTCCTGTAATGTAATAGGTGGTGTTTTACACACTTGTTAGATTAATATAAATACAATACACTTCCCTGTATAACTATTTCACTTCTTTTACTTATAACTGTAGTATACACATATAATATTGTATAATGAAACCTGTCAAATGCTAAGTACACCTGTTGGTGCTATATGTAAATACACTTATTGTACCTACCTAACCTACTACTGTAATGCATCTACACTTACTGCACATTCCTTCCAATGTATCCTGTTAATTGCTAGGTATGAGCATATAAAAATATTTTAAACAACCATTCATAAATCACAATTGTTACTTTAGAAACTCTGATCAAAGTATGCTGCTTCCAGCTAGTGACAAGCTGAGAATGAAGTTTATGAGAGGCTTCTGATACTGAGAGGGTTAACCCCTTAAGGACACATGACATGTGTGACATGTCATGATTCCCTTTTATTCCAGAAGATTGGTCCTTAAGGGGTTAAAGAACGTTCGTGCTACCTGTCCCCATAGAGATGTGAATATGATTCGTTCTGACGTTCTGAGATGAGCTTTAGGTTATGAAGGAAAGCTTCCCCATTGTGCAAACCGTCTCACTGTAACTGGGTCTTTGGGGACAGTTTTTGTCCCTGTGTTTTTAGTTGCAATCTCTGACTCTGTGACCTGTGGTGCTATGAAGTTTCGGTGCCCTCCCTCCTTCATCTGTGACAGGGGTAGGCTGCCTGCTAAGAGGACCTGACATTCACCTCCCCCCGCCCCTCTCCCCTGCACAGCCACAGGACTGTTCTCCTATCCCCAATCTCATTGCTTTCAGTGCAGCAGGCAAAGCACAGAGCTCCAGGCAGCAGCACGGCAGCTGTGCTGTTCATGTCATCAGATCAGTCCCTCCTGTATAATTTGGGACCCATAGCTCCCCACAGCACCCCTAGTGTGACAATGCAGCTTGTAACTAAGATTCCCAATGCAATTCAATGGACAGGCTGAACAGAGAAGGGGGGCTTCCTGGGGCTGCTGATCAGCTGCTCACAGAGCTGGCTCCAAAGAGCTGACATCAATCTCCTACTTTCCCTTCCTGGGGTCTGGAGACTGAGGAGAGGGCACACGTGGGAAAAAAGGGGACCCGGGTACCTTACTCTTTTTTTTTTCTGGAACTTTTTGGGGGGAAGGGTGGGAGAAAGTTGTGGAATAAATCAAAATCTGGCGACTGTGATTTGGCTGAAGATTGGAAGATGCATTTGGCAGTATGGGATTAAATCATTGTTACCTGGTAAGTAGGAGCTACTATAACAACCTGATTAAAGAATAGATAGACAGACATTATCTGTGCATGCCAATTACTTTTTGTAAAATATCCCCATTGTATAATTTTAATGCTCTGCAGAAAATGTTGGTGCTTTATAACTGATGATGATAGAGAGACATATAGATGTACATTTAATTCATATGTTTATATAGTTGATTTGTGTATGGTCCTAATAGATGGTTTGGAGAATTGGATGGTGGTGAAGCCAAAATTTAATACAAATTAATGGTAAAGATGGTGGTTTCATATTCACATACTAATATTTTTTTTTTCCTTTATTTTTTTTCTTATTATTTTATTTATTGGGTGACTATTGTGTCAATTGTATTTCTGTTCCAGTACTAGGCCACAAATTTCCTATCCAGGTCCTAGAACATTTTGTTTCTTGACTAGATTTCATTACACAATACTACATGATAGATAGATAGATAGACAGACAGACAGACAGATACAACCATAAGAATATTTTATCATTTTAGTATGTTTACTAGTTATCACAATAGTACACTATTATCATCTCTTTACATATATAAACAATGCCATTTGACACAATAAGAATATTTTTTAAATAGCCACATTAGTGTAAAATAATGTATTGCAGTTATATTAAATGTAGAGCACCATCATGATGATTGTTTTTTTCTAGGAGCCAGAGCAAGTGAGGCCATTCACCAAGCATTCTCAAGAACAATGCAGTTCCATATATTGTAGTCATGTGATTTTTATCCAGTCCTGTGTCTTTTTTTTTATAGTATTGGACTGTGCACAGGTGGGTTGTATAATTAATTTAAATAACCCAAACTGTGTACATTGTTTATCAGTTATTCACGAATCGCCAAGATATTATGCACCGGTGTATGTTTTTACTTTTACGGAATAAGTAAGGTGTATTTATAGGAAGGGGCTGGACTGCATTTTCTTAATACATTTACGTTGTATCTGCTCTACAGCCCTGTGATTGATAAGCAGCACATTGTCTATTTGTGCACAGTAAGTCCTGACTAGTGAATGACGCGTTGACATCTATCTTAATAACTTTAGGTGAAAAAAATCAAGCTGGAATTTTTTTTTTTTGAACATTTTCAGGTTTATTTACTATGTGTAAACTGTCAGGACATCAAAGTGAATTAAAACTGAATTTAAAAATTTAAGTCAAAATAACCAAATTGAAAATAATTCTGATTCAGAGAATTCTCCTAGTACTTGAGCTGAACTTGAGCTTGAACAAAATTCAATTTGAATTCACTTTGAATTCTCAACAATTCACACTTTCGTGAATAACCGTATAAATGTTAAAGGTTCCGTTAATTAATAGTTGATTGTCAGCTTGTCACAGTCACTGTTCCGTTAATAATCCCTTAAATTAAATTAAAAAAAAAAAGACTTAGAACACAAAGAGAAGATTGTAAATTGCCTACAATTCTCCATTTAGTAAAAATTATTATTGGTTTGAATAATTTGATTTATATTTTTTTATATTTATTGTGTATCTGTTTACGAATTACTGACAGGTATGAAGTCAAATCTATTTTAATTTTTTTTACTTCTCTGAGTGTCGAACACTAATATGATATAATCTGCCAGATTAATCTGGGGAAGATTTTGTTTGTTTGTATACCACAGAGTAATCATTCCAGAAACAGATTCATAAAATGTATTTTTTGTCAGGAAGCCATGAAAACTTTACCAAGTTTTTTATTTCTGCCAGATGGCTTCATTTTAAGGAGACATTGTGCTTTTCTTATTCTGTAGTCTTAGAAATGACACGGACTTTTTGAACTGGTTCCAGGCTGGTTTGGAAAGCATGAATCCGCGCTCTCTGAGGATTGCAGGCAAAAGAAATTGTGGTCAGTTTACGTTTTACTTACTCACTTAACTGACAGTCCCCTATGAGTTAGAGAAATAACTATATTAATGTCTGGACACTAAGTACTGGCGTTTTACTGTAGTATTTATTTTTGTGTGATTTGTCATGTCAGTGATGGAGCCTTAATTGGAAATTGTAACATAAAGAATTAGAAGACTTTTTGTTTTGTCAAGAACAATTTTAAAGGAAAAACATTTTCCTCCAATTTCTACATCCCAGAAGAATTTCTTTATTTTGTATCTATTGCTGCTTTAATTATATCATTTTTCTCTGTGGTGTGAATTTGTGTACCCCATTGAGTGTTCCTGGAAGGGCCGCAGCTTACCTCGGTAATAGTATTTAAAAAAACAAAACAGGAAACTTTTGCATAAGGGATACGTTGAGCAGGGCTCATTTAACTTTCTGTTCACCTTACCTTGTCTGACATTCTTTCTTACTTTTGTTTTGTACAGTGCTGCATGGTATGTTGGTGCTAAATGATTATTAAAAATAATAAGAATTGCTAAATGACAGATTGACATTATGGGTGCTTAGCTTGAAATATATATTAATAGTCGCAATCAGTTTAGAAAGTAGTCCAGAAATATTACATTTTAGCTCTGAACTGGGTGAATAAGCAGTTTCTGTGGGGGAAGGAATTCCTACGTGACACATTGTGTTGCATTAAACTGGTCTTTTGGAATGTGCCATTGCATAATCATCTACAGTGCTGCACAAACTGCCCTCTCATTCTTAAGATTGACCACAGTCAACGTAAGGTCTTCTTGTCATTTCAGGCTTTTAACAATGGCTATTCCCGGACTATTCAGCTTTTGGCTAACTCCAACACTTTGAGTGACATTCACTAAGTCTGATGCAAGTGTAACACACTTAGTCTATCACTATGTGCCTTACAGACCTGTGGAATGCAGCGATGGCTCACGCCAGCATTTAGACAGTTTAGTGAACTCTGGAAAATTTTCTCTAATTTTCTAGAACATCAACTTTATTTGTTAAGATTTTTTAGGGCTTAATAACAGACACTTTTTATAATGGAAGAAATAGAGTTTTACTTTAGTGTCTGACATTAAGACTAAAAAAAAACCCCAATGTCTATTTGATTATATATAAAATAATTATGTCATTTAGGGTGACTCTCATCATTTCTTATCATGTATTTGTTTATCATTGCTAAACATTGATATATTCCATTTAAACTACATAGTTATTCCTGTATGATAATTAGCAGTATTACTTTGTGTCAGTGGGATTCTACACAATGTTTGGTCAGTTCTGGAAAGCTATTTGCGACAAACTAAATCAACTCACATAATGCACCCAACGGGTTTGTATCTAGGTGCATACAGACATTACTGGGCTGCAACAGGACACTAAACATAGTAAACCAAAACATTTGACAGTTTGAAAGTGTATATTTAACATTACCTTTATCCTTAACATTTCTCATAAACAATTATTCTGTAAAAAATTTTAATCAGCTATACAACTTCTTAGGTCTTGTAAACGTTAGTTGTTTGTCACCTTGTGATGTTGGGATTTTTTATGTAAATATGTAATTGCAAAAATTAGACAACAAAAGACAATACAGAAAAATTCTCCAACTCAGCTAGATCTACTGCTTAGAAATTTTAGCCTAAATATTACCACTTTAGTTTTTAATGAATAAACGTCTTATGTTGAGGCCAAAATGAAATTTTAAACATTTTAATAAAAGCTGTTTTGTTTTTGGTAATACCTTTACAATGTAACAAACCAGCAATTTTCATTATATATATACATCATATGTTAAAGAACGTGTGATTTTGTGACATTCAGGGTTATTAACTAAACTGAGAATTCAAAGTAAATGTAAAATTTGCTAAAAAATGGAAGCATAACTAACCTAGATAATTTTTCAAGTTTGGCTATTCTGGATTCAGATTTGAGATTCACTTTGAATTTTCACTTTAGTAAATAACCCTGTTAGCCGTGTTTAAGGCACAAATAGCAGAATTGGAACAATTCTCTAAGTCAGCTATGTTTCCAATTCAGCTACTTTGGCCTTAAATTTTAATTTCACCTTGAATTCTCATCAATTTTCACCTTAGTATATAGAATAAACCTGAAAGTGTTAAACTCATTGACCTGTTTTTTTTAGTTGAAAAGCTCAGATGTTTTAAGTCCATAAGAAAAAAAAAGTAAACAATTTCCAACAAACTAATCAAGGGTTTTATTATGTGAATTGCGACGCTAAATATGTGATAATTGCAATAAAGTAGAAAAGAAAATATGTTTGGCCGTTATTGCAAAAAATAATAATAATAGTTTGCTAAAGCTTGAACAAAACAGTGACTTGTACTGAAATGAAAACTGTCTTTCAACTTTTATGGCAAAATAGGGAATTTGGGAAAGATCGGAATGGTTTAGATTTTTCTTCACCACACTATTTTGGCCTGAATTCACAAGTCCATTGTCAACTCATCACAATTCACTGTTGTGATTAAAGCCATTGTGAAAAATACAGGTTTGACTGCTATAGGACATGAACAACAGTCATTAATATATTTTAGGAAACAAATAATTGTCACCTTTCACAGTTTCAAAACGATGCTTCAATATAAGTACAACAAATTAGTAAGGTTACCACACTCCCTTTATCCTGTAAGTGCTAGTTCGTGCATACTGCTCTCCAGATTAAAATGGCTCAAGCTTGATAGTAATCATGATTTTCAATTTCTATGTATAACAGCATGCAGACTTCTGTTTATCTTCTGATTATTTCTGAGAATGTAGAAACAACAGTGTTACCAAAGATATAGATGTTTAATAAATATTTAAAGGAACACTGGAAAACAAATATGTATTTCTAATACGATAGTACTGGAATAAATGTTTTAGTGTCCACCCCCCACCCAGGTGTTAAGATAAATGGTTTCTTCCACACCATGCCGGTCTAACTGCGGCTGGCCCCACC